ATCTCATTACTTGCAAGGGAAAAAAAAGAAACTACCTGGCATTATCCTGGCACATTGTTACCTCGTTCCTAATGACATGGATTAGGTAAACTACTATATAATTAACTAATGTTTATTTTTATTTTTATAGAAATACTTTTTTATTTCTAAAACACTTTTCATTCTATCTAGATTCTTCAAGAAATTTGTTTAGGAAGATATCAAATAGTAGCCCCATTTTTTAGCTCAACCCAAGCGGAATACGACCACTTATGTGTTTTAGATACATAGTGAGACGATTATACCAATAATTTGTTGGCTTCTTGTCGCAATTCAGGTGTGGTGTAAAAATGTGACTCCTTTTTGTTTTTTTAACATTTTGTACCATAAAACTGCTTATCTGCGTGCATAAAAACATTTAAAAAAATGTGGTAGGGCAGGACAAACGCATGACCTCGACATAAGGAGAAAGCACAATACCACAATTCCTATGTAGTATCCTTACAAAATACATCAGAAGTTTCAATTAGTATCAATTCAAAAGTAAAGTTTGTCAAGTTAGCGAGACACCACCAAAATGAATATCCGTATCAAAAAAAGCGGCGAGTACCTATGCCTTTTGATAGAGTCCCGCAATCTTCACATCAACTTTGCTGCGATTTTTTTTAATTTCCATTACTATGTGGCAACAGAAAACGGTATGTTCTATACTGTGTACTTATTTTTAGCGGATTTTTTTAAGAAATAAAAAAATGTGTAATGTTTGCGTTTTGCCCGTCCGCCCGGGCCCCTTTTTTTTTAACTACTATTAGGGGAATGGTAATATATATAGTCTTGGAATTTTTTGCAATAAGTAGCCTATACCTTGGAGGTCCGCTAGACGGCCATTACTTTTAGATGTTTTAAGGCCCCCCTCTTTTTTACCCTTATCAAAATAGGGAGTTCGGGGAAGAGATGGACTAGTTTTATCCATACTCTAATGAAAGGTCTCAACAAAAGGAATCCATTTTTACCTCTTCGACGCTTCATCGTGATCGGTTATAATTTTTATCTCAATAGCGAATTACCGGAGGAGGTACTCACAAAGGGCGATTGGGACGTGTGGAACAAATATATCCATTGGTAAGATCAACACGATAAGAGCGAATACAGTTTGTCGGAGGAGAGGCAGAATGAATCGTCTGGACGAGACATCTATTGATGAAGTCGAAGCGAATATCTTGACAACAGAAGAGCCTTATAACCCAAAGATTTACTAAGCTATTTCGGTTCAAAAAATGCACTTTATCTGCACAAGAGTTGTGCACAATTTATAATTGTTTCAATATGATCTGATATCAACAAGGATGAATACTTGGTCGTCAAAGAAATAGAGGAATGCCCAATTTCAATTTTCACTACTGAATTAAGGATTTAAAAAACCGAATGATACCGCACAAACGATGCCAATATCGATACTTACAGACCAAAAGGTGTAAATTCGATTGCTTGATGTCCATGTGATATCTCATGCGTTTTGGTGCCGAATATGGTTCTACCCATAAAAATGGAAGATAGGTTGCAATGACAATATGTATAGACATATGTTATTGTGTTAGTTACATTTTTACCAGCAGTTTTGTCTGTTCGTAAAAAACCTTCATGGGCCGTGCATAAATAAAACGAATACGCTAACTGTACAATTATTTTTTGAAAAGATAAGAACTTTTTTTGGTGCCGGTTTAGTATGCGGTCTACCTTAGAGATAGCGGTCTACACCCTATCAATCTGAATGTAGTATGCGGTCTACCCTTTTACATTGGAATATTCGTCAGGTATTTCAAAAAAATAAAGCACATTTCAACCACTTTCTTTTTAGTGATGCATGATGATCATTAGATAATCACCCATAATTGCATTTTTGCAATTGCGGTCTGCTATCCCATTAATGGCCCATTATTGCTAATTACAATTACTTAATGGATAAGTATTAAGTAGCCCCATGTATATAAGCTGGTCAAAATCTCCCCATATTTTAGTTCATAACCATCCGTTGCTGCTCGTATTGCTGGCACTCAACATGTTACTTCGCGAATTTTATTTGAATGTGGGGTCTTCGGAAGAGACGGCTCCCAATAATTCAAAGAGAAGTTGAAATGGGATCGGTTATCCACTCTGACGAATGGCCTGCATATCGCAGGTTAACACAACTGGGCTATGACCACCAAACAGTAAATCATCAAGAGAACTACGTTAATCCAGAGACTGGAGCTCATACACAGGGAATTGAGCGGAGTTGGCTAGACGCCAAAATAAAAATAATGAAAAAGATGAGAGGAGTGCCCATCCAGCATTTCCAGTCCCACTTGGATTATGTTTGTTGGCGGATTTTGAATAAAAACGTAGATGATCTGTTTATAAAATTTTTAGACGACATTAGGCAAGTTTATCGCGAATGAATAAGTATATGTAATAATAAAAGTTGACAATGAATATAATGTGTATAGGATGTAATTGTTGCTATTGAATACAATTTTTCGTAATTCTGATGAGTACTTTTATTTACCTGTAACACCTTTAATATAGTCTAGGAACATACTAGATCGCACACTACATTCAATTAGTTGAGGTAGACTGTCAGCAAGATGGTAGACCGCATACTAAATTCAATTTGGATTGGTAGACCGCATACTAAACCGGCACCCTTTTTTTAAATAAGTAAATAATAACCTATTAATTATAAAAATGTCTAAATCAAAGTTGATCAGTAAAATTGATTAAAACAAATAACAGGAAATAATAATAAGGTGTAATTAACTAATAATCTATTGGGAAATGTTAGCAAACATTGCGAATTTTCTCCACTAATTACCTTAGAATCAAGTAATTTACAGAAGATCTCATTATAGACAAATGGAGTAAAAGGAACAGGTATTTGTGTAGCTTTATTGGAATATTGACTACACCTTTTCAATAAACTTGTTTACATAATTAGTCCTTGATCATTATACCTGGTCTATTCAATAAATGAAGAAAATATGCAAAACTGAAAAGGATAGAAATATACCGTTTTCGCACTCCACGAATATACGTAGAAATGTGTATTGTTGGTGGTCTAACCAATTGCAATAACATTGAAATGCAAATTGACTACAGAGGAGCCTTAATAACTTTCATATAGAAAAATGTTGTATACAGTCGATATTTACCGAGATATACAGGGTGTCTTAAATTGAGTATGTTAACATAGCCATGTTTCTTACAAATTCGGTTAAATTGGCAAAGTTGTGTAGTTTTTGATGCTGATATTCCGATATTTTGAAAAAAATCAACCGTTTCCAAGATAATTGGAAAAAATGAAAATCGCCATTTTTAAAAAGTTCAAATAAAAGTTGCAAGATTCGATGGGATAAATTCAATGGACGTAGAAAACTTTTTTTCAAAATGGCGGTTTTCGAGGTATTGACATCAACTTCCTTATTTTAAATAGACGCCATATAAGATTTTGATGCCACTCGATATAGAAAAAAATTCCAAACCAAACACTTAGTATTTCATTTAGGAATCAACCTTGTATTTTTGCCTCGAAGTTTACAATGTATTTCTTATGGCAATAATTCCATGGCTGATTGTGATTGAAACTTGCATAGTCACCATCGACATGGCCCTGGAATTATTGCCATAAGAAATACATTGTACACTTCTAGGCAAAAATGCAAGCTTGATTTCCAAATGAAATACCAAGTGTTTAGTATCACTGGTTTTGTAATTTTGTTCTCTATCGAGTGACGTAAAAATCCAATATGGTGGCCATTTAAAATAAGGAAGTTGATGTCTATATCCCGAAAACCGCCATTTTGAAAACTTTTTCTACACATATTGATTTTATCCCATCGAATCTTGCAACTTTTATTTGAAAATTCGATAGCTAAAATATTTGAACTTTTTAAAAATGTCGATTTTCACTTTTTTCCAATTACATACCTACGAAACGATTTTTTAAAATGTCGCATCGGAATATCCATTAGCATCAAAAACTAAACAACTTTACTAATTTAACCGAATCTGTAAGTATATTATACTAAGATAGCCATGTTATTCTACTCAATTTAAGTCACCCTGTATATTATAGTTTTTTTTCCTTAATTTTCTTAATTTTTCTTAAATTTCTCCGAATTTCGATCTTTGGCCAGCGTTTGGAGGCGTAAGACAAAGTGCGCTATTGTGTCTTGATTTGCTAGAGAAGCAGGGAGACTGACGCTTTCCGCTTGCGCGTCGCCTTATATCCAATGGAATTGTTTTTACGACAGATGGCGCACGATATTGCGTGAAGTCACAGCGTTTACGACGAATGGCGAGCGGGCGATGTTACGTGACGTCACACGTTCTTGAATCGGGTGGTACTAATCTCCGCCTCAAGAATATAGGAAGGTAAATAAAACAATAATATTTATTTATAAACGAAACGGTTCTTATTCTTTTAAATACCTCGCTGGAAGAAAATACAAGTCAGTAAATGGTGAGGAGGCAGCTCAAATAAATGCAGTTTGATCGGACATGAATACTTAACCATCTCTCATTTAACATCTAGTTCATATTAAAATCGGACACATCTTTGATCGTCTTAAAAGAAAAGTTAAACTTTGTACAAATAATAAATAACAAATAATCTGATTTACAGTATATTTTTTTGTTCCTCTCCTGGTTTACATAATGGGAATACGTTCTCGAATATCACTGGAGACGCTTCACAAAGTGATTGTAAAGCGAAGTTTTCATAAACTGAGACGAGATGTTGTGCTGCAATTGTCGATGACTGTCGTCCCGAGTATATCTCTACTTTCTTCTCCCACCGGATGTACTTTCTATCGTTAATTTGGTACTGACGATGCCAAATTTTCCCTTCGGAAAGCGACTGTAGCGATAAATTCGGTGTGGCTTATTCATTGTACGATAAAGAAGGTTTAATTTCATTTAGAGTATTTTACCTATACGCTTGCAAGTTTCAACGTTCTGTAATAGTCTTTCTTTTTTCTTTTCAGGGTACTTATTATTTAAGGACTTTTGTGAAAACGTATCCGAAGTGCCGGTTCCTGAATTACGGTTTTACGAAGAGGTGAGTGATTGTTAATTACATTTGTGCATGCTTGTACAATTCAGTCTAAGTAGATTTTTTATAGTACGATACCAGAGCGATATTGAAAACTTTTTAAATTATGTGGACGGTATGTCTCTTCATTTGTGGGTGTATTTAACTTGGAAATATTTTTCACGCTTGTGGAAAATTGTCTCGTGTGACATATCATATTCTTTTTCAACGTTCGTTATGAAACACAATTTCAAGTAGGTAAAGGGATCACGCTGAGGATCGCGTAAATGTTTTTGTTCAACGACAGTTTTAATTACTCCGGGGTATAGCACCTTTGATCACTGTGCGATTTGGAATTTCACATCAAACGTACACTTTTACGCATGTTAATTAAAATTTTGTCGCAGTCTTTTTTCACTTGTCTTTTTATACTAAATGAACGTAAAATGCACGACTGCGAGTGAATTCTTTTTTAGTGAGAATTTTTTAATTTCGAATTAATTAAACGCTACGGGTTGTTTTTATCAAAATGCTATCATAAATCAAAAGCTCTCCAAGTAATATTAAATCACAAACATTTCATTAACAAAGCTAAAATGAAGCTGATTCAAATTTTAAAGATTATTGTTACCACACCCTTCGTATAGGTAACTGGCCTCTCGTTCAAGGTATCACAGCCGAAAGTTGGATATCGTAATGTTGTTTTCGTTTCAGAAAAAGTGAGAATCTCAAGGTCATTAAATTAAAGACTTAAGAAAATTTCGGAGGTTCTAAATACTGTTCCAGGTTGTAGTTGACGACTTACCGAGTAATAAAAACTCCTTAAGCGATAGAAAAGCTCTGCAACATTTGGCATTCAAACACATTTACAGACTAATAAGTTTATTAAAAGTTTAAAAGTCCTCTCGGAGAGAGAATTTGTTCAGGAATTTTTCGAGTTCAAACATTAAAATTAATTTTTGATTCGTTACTTTCATGTTGAAAATCTGACATACCACGTTCGTCGAGATTAGAACCCTCGTTTAGGAGTGCGCCATTTTGAGGTAGCTTGCAAATATTTTTACTAAATCAGATACGTCGTCAATGGTCTCGTGCTTTGTAGCACTGACTATTTGCAGATACCAAATTTGTAATTAATTTAAGAAACACGTGCAACACTTGACTTCCCACAAACGGCCAAAGGCGAAAGCCCCATTGTAACTCTTCCTCGTCTATTTAACAACTACTTTCTTTTTTCGCTTCTCATCTTTCGCCAATTTACATTTTCCCTTATAAATTGACTCACAAAATCAAAAATTTCATACACTTCCTTAAACATAACACAAATACAACAAATAACAAAATTATGTCGTACAAAATCAAACTTTCTTCAATAAACGAACCTTACTATCAAAAAGACGAACGCCATCTTAACATCCAACAAGCGGACTGCCCAAAGCAGGGTTTGAAGCGTTTGAAACTAATACTATCGGACCACCACCGAAAACGCCTCCGATATACGACAAAAAGGTACATTTCAAACGTTCACCACAAAAAAAAAACATTTTTCGTGTTCTTCTGGTATGTAAGCCTCTTCCACCTTCATAATCACCAAATTTGAATAACGCCAGCTTTCAAATAAACTCAACGTGCTTATCTTGAAACTAATTCAATTTCACCTTACGCAACGCGAAAACAAATGTTCTTAAAACAATGGCCAGATAAATTTTGAAAAATCTTTGAAACTAAGATATTGCCGAAAAACTGAAAATGTCAAATTTCGTTTTCATTTTCCCCTCGATTTTCCCTATCTCAAACGTTCGGAAATGGACAGTTTGCATTTTTTATGGGCACTTTTTTCGGGAGAATTTGAATCGGTTATCAGAATTTCCATAGCAGGTTACGTGCACTACTTGCTTACTTTTTTACGAACGCCATATTAGATTTTACAGAGGACAAAAAAAGAAATTGATTTGAATGCATCGCCATCATAGACATGTTGATTCAGCCAGATCTAGTTACCCGTTGATGTTTTGCTAAGAAATGAATGTAAAACTTTTGATTTTGAAACTTTATGTAAAAGTATAGAGGCTATAGAGTGTGGTCCTTCATTATTTGTCTTTTTTGGTCTTGTGTCTCATTCCGTAAAAATTCAATATGGCGCCCATAAGAAACAGTTTGGCGTGCTATGGAAATTCCAATAAAAGATTCTCCCAAAAAAAGTGCCTATAGAAAGTGCTAACGAGAACAGTTCATTTTCGACCGTTTTGGAAAATAAAAACAAAATTTGACATTTTCAGTTTTTCGGTGATATTTCTGATATTTTCAAAGATTTTCCAAAAATTTCCAATGCATTCAAATACTATCATAGCGTGTTTTCTGTATCTACGTTTTTAGCGCCGTGACGTCATACAATTTTTTAGCTCTATAAGACGTTTCGGATAAATCATCATCGACATTATATTTTTATACGGTCTGTAAAAAAGTACACACTGTATTGAGTAGCATTTTTTATTACTCTGTAATTGGGCGCAAGCTGTTGTTGAGGGTCCAGAACAAGAGAGGGATAATAAATAAATTACGAATACAACGATCAACTTCACACAAAAAAACAAAGGTTTAAAACTGTTGATTTCAACAGAATGGTGTACCTGCGTATAACGCCCTAATCGTCAGTCTTGGTTTTAGTGCATTTTTTAAGAATTAAAAAAACTGTGCTATTTGCATTTTGTCCGTCCGTCCATCCGCCCGGACCCACTTGTGCCGTTTCGAACTATTTCTAGGGGAATGGTCCTAGAGTCCTGGAATTTTTTGTAGTAGGTAGCCTATACTTTGAAGGTGTGCCATCAAATTTCGCTGCCTAAAAGCCCCCCCCCCCCTCAACTCAATAGGGGTCTCTAGATTTTGGATACGCTATCGTGCCGATCAGTGTCCAAAGTTAAATTCTTAGGAGATTGGGGGGGGGGGGTTAACATATGTTCCAAAAGGTCTCATCGAAATAAATAAATTGGTTTGTACAAACTATAACTTTCCCGTGCGACTCTTTTTCGAGATCAGTGAGCGACGGGTCCTGAGGGGGGTGGGGGTAAAAATTAATGTTATCTCATTGTATTCTAATTAAAGGTCTCAATGAAAGGAACCGTTTTCTACCAACTACTGCCCTTCTTTCTGTCCTCTTATCTAACCTAACAAGCTTTCTAGGACTTACTTGTGCCGAGATCTCATCCTTTACACTGACGGACGGACGGAAAACGCTCCTAATAGCGTATTTTATTTTTTGAAAAATGCGATAAAAACTCATGGATTTTGCTCATTCACAATACAAAAATCATTCGGTTTTATTATTCTTAATTAAT